TCACTTTGTAGCCCAGGCTGGTCTCGAACTCATAATGATCCTCCTGCCTCAGCCTCCCAAGTGCTGGGATTACAGGCATGCACCACCACGCCCGGCTGTGTACTATATTGAATACTGTCCATTACGTGCATTATTGAGACTGATCAATGCTAAGTGAAAGTCTAGTAGCACCTAAATTGACTTTATCCTGTGAGTGTTCAAATAATGTGCAATGTTAGTGAACATCTATTCTTAGAAACTATGGACCAAGAAAAATATAAAAAGAATTGAGCTATTTACATACAATATTAACCCCCACCCTTTTCAATTTATAAAAAAAAAAGCATAGCAAAAATATGCTAGACCTCATGTAACAGTATCTTCATATAATGTTATAAATATGAAGATGCTTAGGACCTGCTGTTATCCTTTGGTGTTACCAAACTTTATAAAATAAAGTAATATATAAGAAGATGTATCTTTTCACTGATTTTATTTCAGGGGACCCTGATCTTTATGGTTTTGACCTCCTGTAACAGTAGTAAATTAATTGGAGTTCCCTCCCCAGAAGCCCTGGGCTCTTACACTGGGTCATGTTTAGGCAAAAGAATCCCTTAGAATCACAGTATGCAAAGGATCACGGGGCTGTCAAAAATAACTTATTAAATGACACAGTTCCGCAAACTTTAGGCTAGTAGGATTTAAGGCACATACTTTCTGACTACAAATGAAGGCACGCTACCTTTAAAAAAATCATGAGTATAATGAAAAATACAAAATCACAGATAATAAATTCACTAATATGTGATTTAGTGCTTTACATAGAGATAGTGAAGGTCAAAAACTTTTCTATGCAGAAGGAATCACAACTGTGTATTATTACAGATTGTGTTCCCTAACAACCTATACAATAGCCTTTACTGTGGTTAAATGCCCAGCAAAACTTAAAAGCTCACTATGTAGTATTTTGGATTAAACAGTTGAGTAATATTTTTAAGGATATAATAAAATCTCTACTTTTGTATGAGAAGAGGGTCATTTAAGCAAAAATAGGTTATCTAATTAAATTCAGCTAAACAAAGTATATGGTAACTGTTGAAGTTTTCTATAACTATATGATTTAAAATAACCATTACTTTCATATGTAAACAGCTACTGCTAAAACGCTTTCAAAGATCAAACTTTGCTTTATACTTCAGTATAATGAACAGGTAAACATTAACCAAGGCTTACTTGATGAGCCATAAGTTCCAGGTTAATGAGGTACTATTTTTCTCCCTTTGGGAAAAGCAAGTTTGGCTGTGAGAAAATCCTATTACTTACTGGCCCTCCATTACGGGAGGATGTGGACACCTAATCGCAGGCACTGAATACATTTAGTGATGAAGGATTCTGGATGGTAGTAGGCCATTTAATAACTTCATTTTTAAAACAACTCATATTACTATAAAGGGCTTTCTTGACTCAGGGACATCCCGAGGCTGCTGATGACTTCTTTGTTCCTGTCTTTGTTGCTTTTAAAGATTTTGTTTATTTATCACTCTAGGAATCAGCCTGTTCCTTCTCTTCTTTTATCGAACTTGATATTTACAATATCTGATAGAATTAATTTACAGTATGCAAGCCATACTGTAGGCTGCCTTTTACTTATATCAACAAAAATTTCTCAAATTTGAAGTGCAGCTGACAATGCAAACCTTTCCTTTCATATTTGGTGACTTAAAATTCTAAATGTCAATAATTTTAAGCCAGGCGTGGTTCCACATGCCTGTAATCCCAGCACTCACAAAGCTGACGCAGGAGGATCACCTCAAAGTTCAGGCCAGCCTGGGCTACATAGTGAGTTCAAGGTCAGCCTGAATTACAGAGGAAGACCTTGTCTCAAAAACAAACAAAACAAAAATTTAGAACAACAGACACCTTCTACATACGTTAGAAGTAAAATATAAACAGTCACCTTTGGATCAGTCTCTACTACTCAAGCACAAGGAATGCTGAGAACTCTGACAAGCTGGTCCTTATGTCAGTTAGTCCCTGAAACCATGGAATCAAAATTTCACATTAGCTAATCTTCCTATTTCTTAAGTCCTAGGACTAGCTCTCTAACTCAAGTTTGGTGATGAAGACAGAACTGGATTCTAGGAGTAAAGACTACTAAGAATGTACAAAGTACCCATTCCAATTTCAAATACTAACACTGAAGAATTCCATTCTACAGAAACTAATGCTCTGCTTAAGGAGATTTTTCTACAGCAGTTCTGTTCAGTAAAATCACCCAACTAGAACAATATCAAAAACTTACTGCATAAAAAACCAATTAAAGTTCATCAATTGTGATTAACAGAAACATGTGACTGAAAAAACAGATACTATTTTAAATACAAAGTCTGCTATATGACTTGGAAACTGGTTATCTTGTTTCTAGATGACCAAGTGCCTTGTAGCTCATCTAGTTAATAACCATTTATGAGAAAAAGGAAGGTGAGGAAAAGAAACAAGGAAAATCTCAAATTATTAGCAGTTTTTGTGAAAAGTGAGGTCAAAGATTTTAAAAAAGGTAACACAGCTAAAAAGGTAGATTTCATTAAACATTATCAAAGATAGATGCATACTGATAATAGACTTTTCAACCATAACAAACAGTTTATTACACAAGTAGTATGTATCTACACTATATGGCACAGGCTAGAAATTACTTCTGGTTGCAATTATTTACATCTGTAAAAGATCAAGCAGTATACCCATCTATCTAGGAAGCTTGAATGGCTCTGTAAGGTTAAGTGTTATATTTACACACCTAGTTATTTTACAAGGACTAATTCTTAGAAGATTACTCAAGCTCTTACTTAGGTTAAGCTGATGATCAATAAAATAGAGGTACATGTAAGCCAGAGAAATTTGGTCCTGTTATTTTACTATAAATCATTTTCCATGGAAATATTTTATGCATCTTAACTAAGTCACTGAGGCACAAAATGTTTTAGGATTGTCACAGGTACTGCCTAAATCATCTATCTGTACCTTTCTTAATTTTGTAGTCTTGCTGGGGATTTAGCTCAGTGGCACAAGCGCCTGCCTGGCAAGCGCAAGGTCCTAGGTTCAATTCCGAGTACAAGAAACAAAAACAAAAACAAACAAAAAACAACATAATTTTGTAGTCTCCAGCTTACTGTGGCCCAATTGAAGAAGCAAAAACTTTACTATTATTTCTATTATATGATATAATCACTCAGGTATTACTGTGAAACACACTACACTATTTCTATAGATATAGGCAGAAAATTTCTAAATCAAAAAGAAAAAAAAAACTTACTACATTATAACAAGGTAAAGGTAAAGGGATTCACTATAGCAGCGTTTCACAATTGCAGTCATGAAACTTTCATGATGTTTCATGAATTCACACACAAACACACACAAACCCTGAATTAATCTATACCATATTTTCTCCTACAACAAAAATTATATGAAAAAACTTAACATACATATATATCACTATTATACAATTTGCTTTTAAGAAAGTGTCCGCTTTAAGAGATTACCTGATGCTCTAATGCAATCTAAACTGTACATTACTGTATATTTAACATTTAGCAACTAGCTATCACATTATTATGGGTTTACTAGTGTGTATTTTATAATAAAAACTTATAAAGTTATAGTAATATTAAATTTTTAGTGTATATTAAAGTGGTTAACAACAATTTAATAATTTCTTTTTTGGGGGGAGAAGCTTTTTGAAATAGGGTCTTGCTATGTAGTTCGGACTGGAACCCAGGCTGGCCTTGAATTTGCAGTAATCCTCCTGCCTCAGCCTCCTGATTACTGGGATTATAGGTGTACACAACCACACCCAGCCAAAAATTCGGTAATTTCTAATGGCAAAAACTTGTGAATCCTTTTCCCCTATACATACAACATATTTTTTTCTATTGATCAATATTTTATTTTCAAAAAGTCTTGCATGTTAAACTAATTTTGGAAACTGCTCTAGTGTGCATAGATACAATAATCCTTGCTTTCAACTTTATTTGTTCCACTGTCATGTTTTTCTAGTTAATTCCTTTCTTCTTAAGTGTAAGGAAAGCTACATTTAGTACATAATACAAAGGAGTCACGTTTGATTATTAAAAATTCTAAATTTTTTCCCCATTTAATGCAAGGTATAAAGAAGCTTTCCTAGCTTATATCCCTTCTAGAGTTTTGTTAAAAACTAATGTTCTGTTTTGATGAATAGATTGTTCCAAGATTGTGGACTCCCATTAAGTGTAAAAGTAATTTGGTCACAAGGGATCGCTGTTTAAGCCAAAAGATGAAAATTACGATGGCCATGAGCTCAGATGTTAGATAAACAGTTAATAACCTAGTCCTGGTTCTGTTCACATATATTTGGAAGTGTTTTGCATAGCATGTCAGGACAGTGCTCGAGCACTCTTCCTTCCTTCCTTCCTTTCTGCCTTTCTCCCTGCTCCCTCCTTCTCTCTTTCTTTTGTCTTTTTGAGACAGGGTTTCATTGTGTAGTTCAGGCAGGCCTTGAACTCACTTTGTAGCCCAGGCTGGCCTCGAACTCAGTGATCCTCCTGCCTCAGCCTCCAGAGTGCTGGGATTACAGGCGTGCACCACGCCTGGCACTGGCACTTCTTCTTGAATAAGCTTCTATAACACTTCTAGCATTAAGGCACTGTTACAGTCATTGCTGGATTAAAGTTATTAACAATCAGATAGAACAAAGAGGAACAGAAAAGTTAAATATCCCATTTAAAAGTTACACTCCTTACTTTACCAGTTAGCTGGTCAGAAAGGTTTAGGTCCTATGTAACCATCTGCAAGCATATATGAAGAGGTCTATCATCTAAACATATGGGCACTACATGGAGAGAGTCAATCCTGTTATGAATGATATAGTGTTCAATCAAAACCCGCTGACAGCTCTGTTAATTACAGCTCTGATAATTTCTTTCTTCATCTCAATCACTGCAAGTTACAGTACTCACAGCCTAGTATAACACTCTTCAGAATGTTCCGTTCTGCTGGGTGATTCATGTAAAACTCAAGTGAAACTGCAAATAACCAATCATAATTAGAACTGCCAGAGCAAGTTATAGTAAAAGAATCCAAACATGGAGATGAATTCATTTCTGCTGAATGGTAGATGAAACTTAACATCACCAGCTCTTACACGGTCACTCCAGATGAACATAACCAACTTCAAGTTCTATATCCTTTCATAATCTGCTCAGTTTTTTTAGCATTTCACAACGCCCTGCACTTCTGTTCAACCGAGAAGAACTTTCTGCATCCTGTGTGCAGCCACACTAGCCTCGTCTTCCGAGTCAGACTCGCTCTGGGACGTGGAGCTGTGAGAGGCAGAGCTGCAGGGGGAGGAGCATTCTGGCGAACATAAGTAGTGCATCAACGGGAGGCGGTACTTTCCACAGAAGTCCACAAATTTAATTTGTCTGACACAACAGTCGAAGTAGACTCCTAGAGAGGAGGAATATAAAATAATCATTACAAAGCAAGCTTTTTTACAATTCTTCCTCCAGAATTCTGCAGAAATGTCCTACAGTTTTCTTCTGTGAACTTAAGCAGAAGTACACAGAAGTCGAATCTATAGAGCTGTTACAGAAATACTGGAAGGTCTCAGACATGGCTCCTCAGCTGCAAAGAGAAGGCAGGGAGACATTGTAAAGGAACTGGCTGAGAAAGGACACTGTTTACTTAGCATCTTTTCTTTTGCTGACTTGGGGGGACAGCGGCTGGTGGGAATTACAAGATACTTAAAGTGCCCTTCTTCCATGCCCAAGCTACCCTCTCAGTACTTCCCAGTCAGGAGACTAAGCAAAAGAAACATGTCCTTTATAATGACCTTAAGGAATCACTTATTATACACACAATCTGCACGAAGAAGGTAGAAAGCAGATGCACTGGTGCCCCCACTTGATTTTCATGCAATTATATGATTTATGGTAGACTGAAGCTAGTACTTGGCTCTTTATGTTCCTACTGTAGGGCTCTCAACTGTGGCCGCCCAGCTAGGTAGAAACATGAAGGGAGCTGAGAGGAAAGCAAAGGTTGGTCCTTAGAAAGATAACGCATATCTCTAACACACAATGCTATCCTGATGGTTGTAGTATAACAGGAATATAAGAGAACTCTAAGTCCCACTGTTCTACTGTCTCTTAGGATAGGAATCTCAACCTTTAGACTCTACCTAAGTTTCTCAACTACTTACTGTGTGTTTACCACACAGGGACCAAAATCAAAAAGCCATGGTCCAGCAGCAAAGGAGAAAGAAGATTTCTATTTTTTGTTTCCTGATACATAGGTATGGTATATTACTTTAAGCTGAAACATTATCGAAGGACTACGAGCCCAAATAATACATTAGTCTCTTGTCATTTGTAAAGTAACAGGCTTCAATAGGTAATCTGAGGGACAAAATGTTTACTGCTTCATCTCAAATTTTAAACTAGTAATTTTCCAAGCATTTCTAAGATAAACAGGACTTGAGTGTACTAAAGAAGTTTTTGTTTGTTTGTTTGTTTGTTTTGAGACAGGATCTTGCTATGTAGTTCAGGTTGGCCTTGAACTCACTATGTAGCCTAGACTGGCCTCAAACTCATGGTAATCCTCCTGCCTCAGCCTCCTGAGTACTGAGATTACTGCTTGAGAATTCTTATAGAGGTCCATTTTAGAAAAGGATGGCTCAAAGTAGACTAGAACCATTAGGCCTGGGGGTTTGGTGGAAATGCTGCCCCAAGTGTATACCTGGCTACTGTTACAGCCACTTCAAGAAAGGGGAGCCTCAGAGAAAACCTTAAGCACATTCAACTTGAGATGGCATCGCAACCTCTGTTTCTTTGTTCTTATCTACACAACAGTTTATTTGATGTCCAGAACACAAAATGACTCATTTTTCTTAAGAGACCACATCATTTTTTACCATATGAATACTCAGGGTTTCTCTATTCACAAGTGCAGGTTTATTATTGAACTGTAGGCTCAAATGATTCATACTGTAACCTCTACTTATTTGTAAGAATGTATAGCCAGAAATATCTCACAGCATGGTCCTTCTTTCTTTTTAAATCCCAAGTATCTTTTATAGCAATCTTTGAGGAATTTAGTCATTTTTCCCACTTTTTAAACATAGGACAGTTTCAAGACAAGATAACTTTCAGGGGGGCTGGGGATTTAGCTCAGCGGCAAAAGCACCTGCCTGGCAAGCGCAAGGTCGTGAGTTCGGTTCCCGGTACCGGAGAAAAAACAAAAACAAACAAACAAAAAAAAGATAACTTTCAGGGAAAATCTCACCTGGTTTTGATCATCATTGTACAACCTTCTCTACAAGACTAAAAATCTTTTTATGCTATATTAAAATGGACTGTTAAAACTTTAGTCTTTTATGAGGAAGCCAAAATAAACTGACCTGCTATCAGTTGTCAATCCCCACCCACACTCTGGCAAGGTACCACCTGACCTCAATGAATCTTTTCACTCTACTGCCCCAACTATAACATCTGAGCCAAACTACCACTCATCCAACACACTGCCCCATACTATTCTATCTCTGCTCTGCTTTCTCCCTCTGAAAAGTTTCCCACCCTCAATCTTACCCTATTAAAATTTAACTCATCCCTCAAGAATCAGCTCTTCTTTATCAGAGCTAATTAAATATACCATTCCTCCTTTGATTTCTAATAGCAGTTTGAATTCCTTGGGATAATTATCTTATTCTGCCCTTTATTATACCATTTGTTTGCTTCTCTCCAAATGTTCTAAACTCAAATTCTGAGCCATGGAGTTAAAAGGGTATACATAAAGTGCTAGGGTACATCCTAAGATCTGCATGCATCCGGCGCATTCTCTTACATCCTGACCGAGAATATTTTCTTGTGTGTGAACCCCAAAATACTGGTATTTTCTTGTGTTTGAATCCAAAATTACTATGAAAAAAATTAAGAAAAAAAAAGTGGGCTGGGGATTCAGCTCCACCGTAGAGCATTTTCCTTTTATGTGTGAGGCCCTAGGTTTAATCCTCACCATCACACACACACACACACACACACACACACACACACGAAGAAAAGAGAAAGAAATCTTGAGAGGGTAAAATGTCTCACTTTCTGGTAACTTCCTGCTATGGCTTGTATCTAGAAGTCCCCCCAAAGCCTCATATGCTCATAGGTGGGACTTTTTGGAGGTAGCTGGTCCTTCTACGGAATGTGTGGATGTGGGTTAAGGGTGTTATAACTAAATTAGTCTGCTGATTGGCTTAGCATGATTCTTGGTGTGGACAGCGGGAAGGCCAACCCCGAGTGTGGGTGGTACCACCTAAAAGGCTTGTAGCCTGGACAGGATAAAAGGGACAGAAAGGAGACAGGCTCACTGCTTGCTGCATGCCCTGTCATGGACTGTTTCTCCTCTGCTATGCCTCCACCACGCTGCCCTACCCTAGGGCCAGATGCGTATGGACTGAAACCTCTATGATACATGAGCTGAAATAAACTCTTCCCCTCTAACTTGTGAGTGTTGGATATTCTGCCCCAGCAATGACAAAAGTAACTAAGATACTGCCTTCTTCTAAATGCCTTAGCTAATTAAGGTAACAATCAAAATTAAAAACAGTTAAATAAGTAGGAAACATGAACAATGAATTTACTTACCACCACACTTTGGGTTTGGGCAATTGCTGGCTGAACTCAAGTATTTAAGAAGATTCCCAGGAAGATCATATGGAGTGTAGGAAATATTTCGCATCTTAATGGTCCGTGCAGCTAATTCCAGGAGAGTTGGAGGGTTATAGGTTAAATCTCTAACAAAACGAACAACCAATGGATTTCCTCGTAAGCTCAACTCTTCCAAATGAATTAGGTTGAGGATCTCTCGAGGCAGGTATGTCAGCAAGTTATTGTGGAGACTGAGGGAACGAAGTGAATGTAACCTAGAATGAACGCAGCACAAAAACCAACAGAAGTGAGCAACATAACTACTAGAAAGTTCACATATGTGCGTGGGCATGTGCGCACAGACCTCTGTATCTTCATATGAACAGTCAGTTTCTCTGTAAGAGCCAGCAACCAACATTAAAGTCAACGAAAGTAAGACACTGAAACCAGATTAGAGTGCAGTTTTGTAAGTGCCACAAGAGACTTCTGCCCTTGGAATCTTAGAAGAGCATGCTGATGTCTTACACGAGATTAATGCTAGAAGTAAAGATTTGGGGGAGCATATTTTATCATTCAGACAGCTAAACCAGGAAAGATTTCAGGTGCAACAGGAATGAGAATCCTTTACAAGCCCTTGTTAGAGTGCTTCATATCAAATATAAAATCACTGAAAAATCCTATAGTACCCAGGAAAGCCTATGACAAATTAATCTTTTTCATTACAGAAAACAAGCTGAAAAATATTTTGAAGAATAAAACAGAGCACTTAAAAGTAAAATTGAAAATAACCTAATTCACAGCAAATCTCAGAGCTACAATTATCATCATGTCATTTATTATGTGTACTTAATTATTTTCTACAGACAAAACAGGTGAGTAAATGCAAGACAATAACTTCTAAGCATGGATGTTTATGTACATATAAACTAAAGCTACTCACTGTGAAAGCTGAGGAGGCACACTTTGGATCTTGTTGTCACATAATACCAAGTAATTCAGAGATGGAAGATTTGCTAATTCTGGTGGGATTTCTTTGATGAAGTTTCCTCCAAGATATAGACACTCTAAACTGAAAAAGTAAATGAAGAAAAACGAATAAATAAATATGTTAGACAAGATACTCCACTGTTTCTACTACAATGAATACATTTTCATCTATTCATTCTGCACATGTATTACTTAGAAGTGGCTACATGCTATCCAGTCTGCAGAGAAATAATGCAATCCTAAGGGAGCTTACAGTATAGTGAAGCAGATAAGACAAATCAATGCTAGACAATATTACAATTAAACAAATAACAAGCCCAAGGCCAGGCATCGTGGCGCACACCTGTAATCCCAGCACTTGGGAGGCTGAGGTAAGAGGATCCCAGCAAATTAGAGGCCAGCTTGAGCTACACAGTGAATTCAAGGCCAGCCTATACTACATAGCAAGACTCTGTTTCAAAAAACAAGTCCAAAAATAAGCACTACATGATTAAAATACCTAAATAAGAGCAACACTTTACAAACATAGGAGTTGAAAAGAAAAAGAGCACAGGGCTGAGGATTTAGCTCAGCACCACAGCACCTGCCTGGCAAGCGCAAGGTCATGAGTTTGATTCCTGGTACTGGGAAAAAAAACAAAAAAAACCCAAACAAACAAAAAAAAGAGCACAAACTTGTGATTCTCCTGGTTCAACAGCAGAAAAGGCCACAGCAGCTCTTACTGGAAAAGGCAGCTTCAGTTGGATTGTAAGTTTAGCCACTTAAGAGGGCAGAAAGAGGAAGCTTCAGGCTGGAGGAGGAGGCTTTTAAGTAGGCTTTTTAACTCACACACAGGGCTGCAGAGTCCAGATTATAGGAACCCTGAATTCCATGCAGGTACACTTGGGTTTAATGTACTAATAGGTGATGGAAACATCACTGGCCTTTTTTTAAAAGTTGAAACCACATCTGAAATTTCTACATTTCTTCTTTGTTCTTTTTATAACAAAAACATTCTTCAGATGCTGCCTAAATGAATTATATGTAAAACTGACTATGTCCATAAAATTAAAGTTCCAGGTATAACATACATTGTACCCAGATGTAACGGTGCTACTTTCTGTGGTGATGCCTGTAGAAAAGCTTTCTGCACAGTTCTTACAATGCACCATACAATATACACAGACCATTGCTGTTACTATGCTATTTTTGTTTTCCTGTTAAATCTGTTAATTCATTATGTAGAACTATCATTCTTCCAAGCCCTTCCTCCCTACCCCACACATACATACACACATATCTGCAGTTAACCTTGAACCTAGCAGTTTGTGCTTGCCAGACACATGCTCTACCACTGAGCTACAACCCCAGCCCCTAAGCACTTTTAAGGTGGAAGAACATAAGCCAGGTGTGGTGGTAACACGCCCATAATTGCAAACACAGGAGTGTAAACCAGGAGATTCGCCGAGTTTGAGGCCCACCTGCGATATAATAGTGAGACTCTATCTCAAGAAAATAAACAAGCAAGTAAACAAATACAAAGTGGGGAAAAAGTGGCCTACTAGACTGTTAGCCAAACTCGCATGGTAAGAATTAACTGGGAATTATTTTTAAAGCCACAAAATCCAGCCCCGATCTACGTGCAAAAACAGGACAGTAATTCAAGGTTGGTTGTTAAACATCCATTCTGCATAACTTTGTTCCTTTGTAGCCAAGGGCATAGTCTGTTCATATTTTATATGTACTAAAAGAATATACACTCCATTTGTAAACTGAACAATTCAAATCTTTTTATAGTTTCTTTTATTATTTTTGCCTTCTTATTGGTGGTAAGTCTCCTACCATAACATGATTTTCCTTCATCCCTTCAGAGTTGTCGATTTTTGCTCTCAATATATGGAAGCTATACTGCAATACATTCAAGTTCCTGACTCCTAAAACTGCCTGAAGTGTTCCTTAATTCACATGAAGAATTTTTCTTTGCTCGTTTAAATTCATTTTGCCTTAAAACCTGTTTCATCTGGTTATCAACACTGCCTACCAGTTTTACCTTTGTACTTATTCAACTCCTGATCCACCACTTATTGGTATAAAAACTTGGGCCAGTTACTTGCTTCTCCTCCTTTAAAATAGACTAGTATTATTGTATACATATGCAATACCTAGTTAAATACGAATACCATCCATGTGCGGGGTACCACTCCAAGAACTATAGTGTAAATAAGATCTCAATGATGATCTCAAGCTTATGTTCTAATGAGAAAACAGACGTACTTCTCTTATGCCAAATAGTATTAAGTGCTATGAGGAAAAATGTGGGCAATCAGATGACAATGGAAGTGATTCTCTACACAAGGTGGCCAGGAAAGTTTTCTCATAAGAGATGACACCTGAACAGAGCTCTAAATGAAGTGAGAGGGAAAAGTACATAGTCAGTGTGGTCGGTCACAGACTGGATGGAAACGCAGCAGTCAGAACACGGTAGACAAGAGGTCACAGCAATAGTCTGGGAGGGCCAGGTCACAAGGGCCTTTTCAGGATTTTGAATTTTATCTCAGATGTGGTGGGTTTTGAACTGAAGGGCAGTCATACAACTTGAGTCACGCTTTAAAGAATCACAGAAAAGCTGGCGAAGTGGTGGAGGAGTACTGAGGACAAGAGTGGAGACAGGAACAGAGGGGAACCAGTGCAGTAGTTCAGATGAGAAGTAATGAATTTGCAAGTACATCTTTTACTTTTACTGGTATATTTTTAAGTGTAACTTGGGTACAACTGGATTGTCCATACACAACTCCATACATCTACAGTTGTGCTTTCTAGTATGATAGTATCTCTGTTTTTTCCCTTCTGTTCTGCCATTTGTTTTCACTGTTACCTTTTGTTCCATTCCCTTGTACTGTTCTGAGCTGTGCTATTTCTATTTTCCTAGTTATTTCTAGTTCTAATTTCTATTTCTAATTTCTAATAGCTGTGCTATTTCTATTTCTAATTTTCTACTTCTAATTTGCTTTCATTCCCAAATATACAACTGTGTTCCATTCTGTCTTCATATCACTTTCTAGAATTAACCTTGATTTCTACCAACATTGATTAAAAAAAAATGTATTTTCAATCAATACTTAGCCAGATTTGTCAGTATTTTTTACATTTGTTTGCCACAGTTTTTGGTATTTCTTTTAAAGTTGGTTTTTCTTGGACTATGACCCTTAGAAGTTCCTTCAGCAAGGACTCATGGTTGTTAATCTTTGAGTCCTTTGTTTCCATGCCCAACTTTTTATTTTGTCACCTCAATCCTGAATCATGTTAGCTGGGTATAAAATTCAAGGTTGGCAGTCACTTTTCCTTAGCAGTAGGAAGATCCTGTTCCATTATGTTAGTAAAGCCAATATTATTACTGTTCCTTTGTACAATTTTTTGTTTTACTTTGTTTTATTTTCTGAGGAGCTCTGAGCATATTTTTCTGTTTATCTTTACTAAAGTTCTATAATATATCAAAATGTTAATTTGGAGAGCTCTTTAGCTGAGGGAGAGCCACAATTACTTCATTCATTACTTTTCAGTCTACACTTTTTTCTAGAACTGCTCTCAGCCGTTAGAACTGTAGGATCTATCCTCTATCTCATTATGCTCTTATCTCTTTGTGCTACATTCCAGAAGAATGCCTCAGCAAGATCTCTGCATAAGGATTCTTCTTCAGTTATCTTCACACCATTTAGCCCATTTAGTGAGTTCATAATTATAGCAATCCCCTTTTCTTTGTGGGATACATGCCAAGATCTCAGGGTAGATGTCTGAAGTAGGGATTAGCACTAAATCCTGTAATTATTATCTTTTCTACCTTAACTAAGCATTTATTCTCTGCAGCTATCCTTTTGTAATTTGAAATGACAGCTGAATGATTCATTCTTAAGAGTCAATCTTAGCAGCTGGGCACACTTTTTTTCTTTCCTTATGAAGCATGGAACTTTCACCTTTTTCCTTAAAGGGAGCATTTTGTGGCTTCCCCTTGGCATATCTGAATTGCCAGCATCCCTACTCTTGTGTTTTGGAGCCATTATTAAAGAAAATAAGGCAATGATGGTGAACTTTCTGGAGACTCAGTGCCCCAAATGCAACTCCAAACCCATTTTTTTATTGTAAACTGCCAACAGTGCAATTAAATCTGAAGTTTTAGTTTAGAAAAACAGCTCATACATAAACATCTGCCTTAAAAGAAAACAAGTAACACGTGTGCCACAGGTTCACCATGTGAAATAAGGGTTATCTGAACATGAAAACTGTGGTACTGTGACAGTCAAATTCATAAACAAGACAGCTCGTCAATCACTAATAAGCAGAGTACTGAGAGTCGATAAGCTGGACAAACGATGACTCCATTTTGAGTGGGAGGGCACAAGACTTCAACACACTACTCAGAATGGGTACAATTTAAAACTTCCAAAATTTTTGTATCTGAGATTTTCTATCTACTATTTTTGGACCTTGGCTGACCTTGAGTAATGGAACCCTAGTAAAGCAAAACTGCAAATAAAGGATGACTATTGCATATTTTTCCTTTTCTAGAAATTCTAATTGTGGTTTCACAACAGTCAGTTTTATAGTTCTTCTGAGAGAGGGTCTCACTATGTAGTACAGGCTGGCCTTGAACTCACAGCAAACCTCCTGCCTCAGCCTCCCAACAGCTGGAATTACAGGCCTGCACCAACATGCCCAGCTCCCAACTGTCAGTTTTAAAACTCCAAAACTTCCTATTCTTGTTTCACTGACAAAGTTCCTTCCCTCCTCTCTGAAGTTAGAAAACATACCTTATTGTACTGAGTCAGGCATGGTGGCAAACACCTGTCATCCCAGCATTCTGGGGAGGTTGAGGCAGAATGACGGTAAGTTTGAATCCAGCCTGGGCAACTTAGTGAGACTCTGTCTCAAAATAATGCAAAACGGTTGGGAACATACGTCAGTGTGAAAGCCCTGCATTTAGTCCTCCTGCCCCAAATAGTTCTGCATTGGTACAATTTAATAATCTCAGAGTATGGTCATTCCAACAGCCAACCTGAATCAATCTGAAGTTCTTTTGGTTTTAATAATTAATGATATAGCACTGGAAAGCCTGAGGCAGGAGGATCGCTGAGTTCAAGGCTAGTCTGGGCTACATAGTGAGTTCAAGGTCAGCCTGAGCTACATAGTGAAACCCCTGTCTCCCACCTCCCCCTCAAAAAGGATTAATGACTTTTTTTCAATCTCTGATCATGTACAGTTTTTCAAGATGGCATCTGTCTCTCTAGATTTATAATGCTTAGAAAAAACAAGCAGATAAAGAATGTTGATGTTAATTTTTTCCCTTTCAAATGTTACTCTGTAGCTAAAATCAACTATCTGATTACAAGTGGAGTACCTGCCTATGAATGCTACTGTTGGGAAAAAACAGATTCTTAGGCAGGTTATTTTGATCCTACCAAGTATGGTGTAAATTCATGTCCAGATACTTAGAAAGCTCTGGTTTTCAATGATTAGAGATACTGTAATAGAACAGACTATCTGGATCTCAAATAAAAGAAACTTCCCTGGAAAACAAGCTATTTTAATTAGAATGCTAATTGGGGGGAAAGCTTAAACTTAAAAGACCTTTTAATAGAATATTGAGTAACTAATAACTTGCAATATGGTCTAGTGGGATAGAAAAGAAATTACAGTAAAGTGAGAAAGAGAAGAGTGAGTCTTAGACAAATGTAAATATTATCTTGTTTGTTTAGGTCTGTGTTATGGACGGAATGCTTCTGTCACAAAATTCATGCTGAACTCTTAATGTGATGGTATTAGGACTTGGTGTCTTTGGAAGATGATAAGGATCAGATGAAGTCATAAAGGTTGAGCCTTCATGAGTGGGATTAGTGTCTTTGAAAGAGCCCTGAGAGGGCTGGGGATGTATAGCTCAGTGGCGCAGCACCTGCCTGGCAAGCTCGAGGCCCTGAGTTCCATTCCCGGTTCAAAAAAAAAAAAAGACCAAAAAAAAGGGCCCTGAGAGCATTTTCTCTGCCTTCAAGGACACGGTAAGACTGAAGTTTATGAACCTGGAAGCAAGTCCTCACCAGCAATGGAATCTGTTAAATATTTCTATCTTGGACTTCAGAGTCCCCAGAACCCTAAGAAATAAACTTCCGTTGCTTATAAGTCACCCCATTTATGATACTTTGTTATAGCAGCCTGAAGTTACTAAGACAGTGAGGAACTACTCTCTGGTGGTCAGTTACTACTCAGTGTCTTCCTCTGTGCTCTGGAAGTGGGCAGGGAGGTACTCAGACAGAAAGGATGCCAAACGTCAGAAGGTACTGTGACTTTAACAGAGAAAGAGCTGAAGTTCTAAAATATAACCAAGCCCATGATGTTGAAATGATGTACTGTAAATTCTCTTTTGCAATTGATGGGTATCATTAATCAAATTACACAACCAGCATATTAAATTTATACTGTCAAGACTATTTCTCACTTTTAAACTCAATTTTCAAATTTCTAGGAACTTGAATCTTTTCAACGATTTATGGAAATTAAATTTCTAGAGTCTTGTATAATTATGAAAGTATTGTGAATTAAACGCAAAATTGTAGTGTTTTAAAAGTTCTTATGCATTGTCATCATTGCACCTCTGTCAATTAGAGCTGGAATAATTCAGTGTTTGACAAATATAGAAAATAGGAAAACCATTCATTAAATTTATGAAATGAATTCTTCCTTTCCTTTATGTGTAGTGTTAACACATCAAACTTAAATTTGTTTCTTCATAATGAAGTGGGGTGACTCTCCTCTATCAGGGGTCACTGAACCACTGAAAAAATACTTCAGGTCCTCACAGTGACAATCAATTCTAACTGCAGATGTAAACAGAAAATGTTTTTTGCTTCCCACCCAAATAAAGATGACATTAAGTAAAATAAAAATATACATTAGCCCTGCATTGTGTGGTTCATTAAAGGGAAATGAAATTAAAAGTTTTAGTTTAACCTTAACACATTCTATTTATTAAGTCACCTCTTTGCTAAAATATCTATTAATTATACACTAGCTTCAACACATTCTATGGCATTAATTTGTAGCCTTCATTTTGACACTCTCTCCTGCAAAGTCATACCAAAAAGACAGTAAGAGGGTCATAAACAGAAAAAGAAAAGCATTACATGTACTTGGGAAGAAAAGACTAGGAAAATGTAGCACTGAAACTCTTGGCTCAAACTTACTCTCCAAGTATCTAGCACCCTGTATGCCAAACAACTCTGCAACTTTCGTTTAAACAGTCTATTGCCTAGTGGGCGATAAGTTATTAAACTCTTCCGCACTTAAGTGTCTGGGCTAAATGACACTAGGAATAAAAAGCACAAGTAAAATAAAACTGACAAAGGAATAAAAGGCAATAAATAGTTCCGGAGAAAGAGGTCTAACTGTGAATTACTTTTTCAACATAAAAGTTTGTCCATATAAAAAATTATACAAAAAATTGTATCCATTTGCTGAAATATAAACTCACATTTTGATGGATAAAATCTATATCCACAGCCTAATTTACTCCAGGAAAGTAAAGTTAATCATGAAAATGTTAAGATTGTCAGCATTTATTTATTTTTTATACTCTGAAAATGCTCTTTCAGAAAACTTTAAAGAAAAAACTTTGTCAATATGGGAAAGAATCAACAGAGTACGAAAACATATCTGAAGAGATCCTGATACAACTGGAGAGGTCAATGACAGTTAAACCAAAAATGCTTATTTTAAATCGAGTGCGGTGGTGCCCACCTGTAATCTCAGCACTCGGGAGGCCGAGGCAGGAGAGGATACCTTCAGGCCAGCCTGAACTAACTACAGGGTGAGTCCCTGCTTCAAAAAACCAAAACAAACCAAAAATTATTTATTCCTTCCTGGAAGAATGAAGGGTACGAAGAAAGAGGATGTTGGCACTGATTACAGAGTATACATAATTTAAAAATTGTCCTTAAAGATGGCAGATGTCTTCTTTATTGCCAAAAAACTAGACCCGGCTTAAAAAGCACCTTGGCATAATATACAATATACGTCAGGGTTACCAGAGAGGCCTAAAGAATACACATGTATTCTGCAAGATGATATACTTAGGGTTTATGTGACAGAACCTCCGGCTCTGTATTTCTGACGGTCTAATGCATTATTCTAGCAGTGAGCAGCTAGCAGCAGTTTGAGGAATGGACCAGGGAACGCTCACTGTCACCATCCGGCCTCAAGCAAATTACTGATACAAAATGTTTCCTCATCTGTTTAAAAGAAGGATTACCTCCTTCACTGAAATGATATGAGTCAGTTCCTGGCCCAGACTTTTTCTACCTTTAGGAAGAAAAAATCTACATTCAACCTGTTTTTGCTTAAATTTTCACTGATTCCTATCAATAAAGAGAACAGAAAAAACGCAAATGTGAAAGATTCCACACAATATTGGCACCAAAGACACATGTTCTTTACACTTAACTCTTTGAGATTCCTTCCAGCCCTAGCACTGGTATCTTTGGAAACTTAGAATATGAAAATACAGATGGAAGGTAAATCTGCCCTCGTTCTACTTCCTACTCCACTGCAAGGCACCCTTAGGATACTTAATATTATCCTGTTTCTCCATTTCCTTGCATTTATGGGTTATATGTGTGTTGAGGCACAGTTACTTTTTTAAATTTTTTTTCCTCCTTTGGAGACAGGGTCTCGCTACGCAGTTTAGGCTGGCCTTGAGCTCACTTTGTAGCCCAGGCTGGTCTCGAACTCGCAACGATCCTCCTGCCTCAGCCTCCTGAGTGCTGGGATTACAGGCGTGCGCCACCACGCCCGGATGGAGTTTCCTCAACGAATTAAAATCATTAAAATGAATGCAATGGTGAGAGGTACAAAGAACACAACTTAGCAATAATTAAACTGTCCAGGAGGCAGTAAAGGAAGGAATCACAGAGGTGACCCTTGATATAAATTTTAACCAACAGGTGTTTGCCAGGTGGGGAGAAAAAAAACCCTCCAGGCAAAAGGAACCACACCTGCTCTGTATCCATTCAACATACATCTGGTGAGTGCTTACCTGTGCCAGCACCTACAAGCTGCTTTCCCTACAAGCTGGGAAAATGCACGGCTCAAATGGTACCGTCAGTATTGATACAGAGGAAAGGGAGCTGACAGGGAAAAGCAAGGAGTGGCCAGGCGTGGTGCTGCACGCCTGTAATCCCAGTACTCGGGAGGCTGAGGCAAGAGGATCGTTGCCGAGTTCGAGATCAGCCTGGGCTACAAAGTGAGCTCAAGGCCAGCCTGAACTGCATAGCGAGACCCTGCTTCAAAAAGAAGAAAAAAGAAAAACACGGAGTACGATCAGAGCACCTTGGAGCCATGCTAAAAAGGCAAATACAATACTTTAATCAACAAGCATAAAAATCCCCTAAGACTTCTGAGCAACAAAGTGACAACCTCGGAAACATGACATCTGTTTCTGAATACTCAGCACAGATCACTTCTCAGACAGAGGAAATAAGACAGAAATAGTATCTCCAAAATCCGCATGGGCCAAAAGCCCATCAAACGCCGCGATAGACGCAATCGTACTAGATCTTTGCCGTAACTCAAGGAGACGGGTAGTATTATCACAAGTGAGAGAGCCGGCAGGAAGCCAGCTACGTGACAGACGCCCGGCGCCCGCAGGGACCCGGACACCGGCGCAGGCCCCCGCCCTCCGGTGCGCGGAGGCACTCACCTCCGCAAGTTCTCGATCTCGGCCGGGATGCTCTGCAGCTGGTTGCCGCCCAGGCTGAGGGTCTGCAGCGCGCGCAGCCCCAGCAGCGAGGCGGGCACTTCCTGGAAGCAGTTGCCGCTGAGGTTGAGCACCTGGAGGCTGCGGCTGAGCGGCGACTGGTTCAGGCCTTTGGGCAGCGCGCCCGGGCCGCCCAGCCGGTTGTTCCTGGCCAGCAGCGTGCGCAGGCCGCTCAGCGCGAGCAGCTCGGGCCCCAGCGCGGTCAACGCGTTGCCGCTCACGTCCAGCAGCTGGAGGTGCGGGAAGCCGCTGCCCAGCGCCCGCGGCAGCGACAGCAGCCGGTTGTGGGGCAGCAGGAGCCGCAGCAGCGCC